CACTCTTGTATTGCTTGAAAGCATCAATTGCCTCATCTTTACTATTAAGTAAATAACCATAGCAATATCTTGTGCTATCGTCAATAAAAGTAATAAAATACTTTTTCCCACCGCGAGATGGTGTTGACTTCATGTCACAAATATCTGTGTGAATTAAGTCTAAAGGACTTGAATTCCTTTCAACGGACTTATAAGGATGCTTAGCATACTTTGATTCCACACATATTTGACATTTGGAATTAATGCAATCAAATTTTGGCAATACGTCTAAATTTATCATTTTTCGCAATGTTTTGAAGTTGACGTGACCTAAACGTGAATGCCATAAAGTGTTTGACTCAAGTAAGTAAGACGAAGCATTAACTTTATTGATAGGAACTGCTATTACATTTAGCTTAAAAAGGCCCTCATTCAGGTAACCTTTTCCTACATACATATCATTCTTACTTAGTACAACACTATTGGAAACAAAAATACATTTGAATCCATTCTTGACAAGAAGTGATGTAGACACAAGATTCTTGCGAATTTCTGGAACATGGAGAACTTGGTTTAGAGTCACTATTTTTCCCGACGTCATCTTCAACGCAATCTTGCCAACTCCTTCAATTTTGGCTGTAGACGAATTTCCCATGAAAATTGTCTCGTCGGGTCCTGCGGGGGCATAAGAAGAAAATAATTCCTTGTTAGCGCAAACATGGCGGGTGGCTCCAGAATCTATCCACCATTCTTTCGGATTTCCTACCAAGTTGCATTCAGACAACATGGCACACAAGTCTTCCATTTATCTTCAACCATGTTGGCTTGATTCTTTTTCTTCTTATCATTCTTTGGCGCACGACAATCCACCGCCTTATGCCCAGATTTTCCACAGTTGTGGCAATTACCCTTGAACTTCTTCTTACTTGGGTAATTCTTTGGTCCAGAAGCTTTCTTCCTCTTCTTATTTTGTGGTGCCTCCTCAACAATGTTTGCCCCCATTATTGTCGAGTGTCCACGTGACTTCTTTTCAGCATTTTTGTTGTCCTATTCTATCCTCAAACGAACAATCAAGTCTTCTAGGGTCATTTCCTTCCGTTTGTGTTTAAGATAGTTCTTAAAATCCTTCCACAGCGGAGGTAACTTCTCAATGAAAGCAGCGACTTGAAAGGCCTCATTTATGACCATACCTTCAATAACAAATTCATTATTAATAATAAGATAAATCTTATTAATAAAATTATTGATTTGGGTCATACCTTCAGCAAGGAGGTCATGTACAATGACTTGTAGTTCTTGGACTTGAGTTATGACCGACCTAGTGTCAATCATCTTGAAATCCAAGAACCTTGCAGCCACGAATTTCTTAAGTCCGGCATCCTCAGTCTTGTATTTCTTCTCAAGTGCATTCCATAACGCTTTTGAAGTTTCCATGACACTATAGACATTGTACAAGCAATCTTCCAAACAACTCAAAATGTAATTTTTGCACAGGAAATCAGAATGTTTCCATGCTTCAGTTACAACAAGTCGTTCATCATCCGGAGTATTTTCAGCCATGACCGGAGGATCCTCCTTGATGAAACGTTGCAAACTCAACGTAGTAAGATAGAAGAGCATCTTCATTTTCCAGCGTTTGAAGTCAATACCGGAAAACTTTCCGGGTTTTTCTGCCGGTGCCATAGCATGAGCAGGAGTAGAACGGCTTGACGAGGCAGCAGCACTCGTAACAGTAGCTCCCGTTCCCACAACATTTCCATTAGTTTGGTTTTCGTTCGTCATCTTTTCTGTAGAGTTGGAAACACAACAGAACTTTGTTAAATCAGTGAAGTTTTGATATCTTTAAACTGAATACCAAACCAAACATACAACACGTAACAATGGTGAAGTTTTTATATACTTCAAACCCGTACGTTTATCATTCCGGTAAAGTTTTTATATACTTTAAACCGGACAGAACAATTATTGGAGTAGAAAGCACGAAGGCTTTAGTCTCCAAAACAGTATACAAAATATGAATAACAGTTTAATATATGTTTCAACACAGAAACGTTAGTTTAAAATTCCTTAAGCTTGTAAGCGCTACTGTGTTAAAACATAAAATCAGAAAAACTGTTAGAAGAATAAAAGAAATTAGAAAAACAGTAAAGATTAAGAAATATTCCGAGTCCACAATTTGCTTGCGCGTCCTTAAGAAATTTTAACCCCCTCACACGTTGCCAAGGTAATGGATTAAATCCTCCCAGGATAAAACGGAATAAACCTTCCTGCAACAGTGGCAATACGAACTGCAGGATACCAACGAACTTAAAGAACGGAGCAAAATCACACTTACGAATTTGAGAGAGAGAGACTGCGAATTAGAATGCAGTATTTTCAGAAAGAAGGAAGTTCTGTAATGTTTTTGGTGTGTTAAAAACGAAGCCATGCCTCAGAATTTATAGGCAATTATTGGAAGAGGCCGCGGCCAGACTATCCTTCTGAATCTTCAGCAGTGATCTGGCATTTAATTAATTATTAAATAATTAACTAAATAAATTTTGTCCAAAAATAATCTTATCGATCGATCATTTGACAAATCCAATCCAAATCCAAAGCCAAAGCCGAAGCCGAGCCGAGCGAGCGACGACGGCGGCGCGAGGGATCATTCTCTTCAACTCCTTTTAAGAGCTTTAAGAAGTGATTCTATATATAAGCACACAAATGTAGTTGTCCCTCACCAATGAGGGACAAAGTGCAAGTTAAAAGCTCACTTCATTCAAATTTTCATTCCCTCCATTTTATTTTCCACCATTTCCAATTCACACTCTTATACTTTAAAGCCCAATGCTTAAAGTCTTTGAAACTCAATGCCTTTAAAGTCCAACAATTGCCCAATGCTTTAAAGTCCAACAGAAACTATATATAATATGCAAGCCAGCTTTGGAAACATAAGTGTCTTAAAGGATATTGCTATGCATTGTAATATTTTGGGACCTCAGTATTAATATGTATCCTGTTTTCTAGAAAAATTAATGTTAGAAAACGGTGGGATATATAAGAAGATATGTCAATTGACTTTACAAGGATACCTGAGAGTTCATATCATACTCAACTATAATGCACATTGAACAACATTAATTGTTTCCTACAAATCATAGGCAAGAGTACTAGAAAATATCATTTATCTTGATTTGATCATGGTCGAGATGATAATGTTGCATTTAAATACAGAGAAATTATTGAAGAAAAGGTCATACAAATATCTAAGAAAGATCTCAATGCACAATTAAAGCTAAATTTTTAAGATTATATTATAAAAAATTGGCTTTGGTAGAATGAGATTATTCTTATAAATGGCACTGGAGGAACAAAATTTTCTTTTATCATGCATTATTTATAAATGTCATATCAAGAGCCATAATACCATTAGTAACTATAACAAATGGTGTAGTATCAACAATCTTAATACAAAATCGTACGCCTCACTTTAGATTCAAAAACCCTCTTCAAACAATCATCACAATTGTGCCCAAACAGAGTAGTGATGCTAAATTGATAAGAAAAGAAAATTTGATTACGATGAAGCACCTATGGCGAAGAGATGATCAAAACTTTGGAGTTATAGTGGTTATCGACGAACCATTTGGTGGAAAATAGTAGTTTTGGAGGTGATTTTCGTCAAGTACACAATAATTTCATAACAATGAGAGCACAAACTGTAAAAATTTGAGAGCGGTAAAAGGTCAAGCATCAGTAATTTCTTCTTCGGGTGGAGAAGAGCATACAATAAAAGACTATTTACTCCTTCTTCTAGAAGAATTAGTTATCAAAGCCCATTGGTAATAGTAGCGGTGAAGATCACTTAATAAGAAAAACTGACATTAGATAAAATGCAAGTTGTGCAAATTATATGATAGTAAGTGCTATCTTAGCTATTAGAAATTAATATGTCAATTAACTAAATGAGATGTTCATTGCCAAGTTCCCTGGTGAAAAGCAAAATAATTCAGTTTTGACTCAACAGGAGATGTTACCAACAACTACTAAGAGGAAGAGTACTTAAATACTTTAATGCCAACAAATTCATTATTTTTTATATTTCCCACTGCCATATATGTATATAACAGACAAATTAAAATTGAAATTGATCTTCTATTGCATAACAGTTGATTTTGACAGCAACAAAGAAATGTGTCCATCATACTATCGATAAATTTAGATCCATGGAATAATTTATGTAATGTTACAAAGATGATATTTTGAAATAACATCATACAGTGAAATCATGATGCGCCAATATGCTTCCAAACATGTATTTATCCCTAGAATTCAACTTTTGCCTCCCGAAAATAAAGGATATCCCTTGTGTTTTGCAATGACAATAAATAAAGCATCAAATGTTAGACGGTATTTCCGCACAAGAAATTATATATTTTACTACCAAGAGGGATATCAATATTGACAACAAGTTCGATAATGATTGAGTAACCTAAGTGTTAGAAAGGAATATACACAAAATATATCAAATACAAAAAAGTCTTAGGTAAGAATTATCGTATTGCATATTTCTAATCTATAAATACATAATAGTATTATCTAAATAATATGGCTAAATTGCCCATTTTTGCAAGTTCAGATGATGTATAATCATTTTGAATTCACGTTGTATATTATTATATTATTTTCTTATTAATTTAATTTTTTGTTCCTTTATATAATTAATAATATTATTAAATTCTAACGTGTCATTATTAACGTGCAACACACGTTCGTAGAAACTAGTACTAAAAATCATCAGTTAGGACAACTTTTACAAATTTACAAGAGTAATACTCAAAATATCTGATCAGAAAATTATTGAAATCATGTTTTTACATATCAAACGTTGTTCTTCTTCTTCTTTTTCTTTTTAGTTGAGTAGACATTTCGATTGATTTTGTAATGTTCTACAGCCGAGTATTTTATATCTTTGAAGTCCCAATAGGTCAGATATATTTTCTAAACAACTATGTTTCACGTCAGTAAAATGACGACCGACGTGAAAATTTCGGTGTTTATTTTGTTGTGTTGCATGTAATCCAAAATAGATGCTATACACTAATGTGTGCTGATTCCAACACGCATATCAAGTAGGGGAAGCAACTCAAAACATTCCTTCCAGCCCTATATCAAAATGGTCGAGAAAAAATATGGTCCACTATAGGAGACTCCATTACTTGTCAATACTGATGTTCTCCCCAACCTACAAGACACAAACACAGTTTTGAGAGAGAAAGGGGAGCATGACATCTCTAAGGAACTATTCCAAAATTCAGCATCATCAAGGGCAACTATAAGATTCCAAGGAAACACTACGACCGTGGCATTAGTTGGTCTACTCCAAATCAACTGCTGAGACATTCCTATATGCTTCTCCTTCATACTAACTGTACAATAAACTCTACCAAAATGAACTAATGATGTAGCACCCATGTTCAGTTTAAAAGTTTTGCTGTGCAATTTTGACTGGGTCAGACATCACAGTTAGACTTCTGCGCAAAAAAGGCCCACCACATATTTCAATCAGTGCTCGAGGCATCCAACGGGAGAGTTGAAAGTGGAGGACCTGGAGGAGACGTCATATTATTGTCTTTGCCTGCTAGAGTTGGTACGAGATAAAGTTGGTACTTCCTGGTAGTTGTCAGATTCATCCTCTTCGTCCGAGGATAAGAAGGAAGGACCCATCCATGCCTTGAAACTTTCATTCACACGTCTCTCTACATCTGGTGTGACCTCCATTGGATTTGCTTCGAGCATTTCTACTCCAAGATTGCGCCCACTAAAGTCACTTTCATCCAGAATTACAGCAGCTTTTCTTCTTAGAAAGAAAGCAGTTCCTCCATATAGAATCACCAGCCCCCATGAAGCAATTTCGTAACACCAAAACAAGGGCGCTGAGCAGCTGCTCCCTAAAGTGAGAAGGGTTGAACCAAGAAACAGCGCGAGCAGACCAAATACAATAGCAAAAGCAACATTGAGAATTGATAGACAACGCACTCCACCTGTTAAACACAATGGTGAGTTGCTAGACAAATATTAATAGGAGATGATATGAATCATTCCATTGCTTCCAATCATCACACGTGCAAATTAGCAGGGAAACAAGAGCACCCTTCCCCTTGGGGCAATATGGTAAGGGGTGAGACAGAAAAACCCAGAAATCTAGCAAACGTATCAAATCATCTCAGCATAAGTAATTCAAAACCTCCTATCATGCATATTAATTGTCTTCCAAAATTCTCCTTAAATAAACTTATTGCAGCCCTAGAATCCTACTTTTGCGGACCTGATCCTGTCCACTAATACTGTTCAAGTTGGTTTTACCTTCAGAATGCATTAAAGAAATGGACTCCTTCTGGAGTTGACATCTCACGCTTGCAAACATATTACTCCTTTATTAATATAGTTAGCAAGTTCATAGAACACCAAAAAATGGGAGAGCTGTAAATGGACCAAGTTCATGACCAAAGCTCAACCCGAGTTGTGTGTGTGTATATATATATATCGTTGGCCCACAGTGCACCTCTGGGGAGTATGGGTCTGCCCATCTATCTTCCTCCCAACTTAAATACTCGAGCTCAGCTCCTTTAGTTACTAAACCGCCGAACTTAGCACTATCATGTAGCTCAATTATTTAACGAGCTACACATTGGAAATAATATATCACCCCAACAATTTCCTCCATAGATATAACAGGTAAGTTACTCCTGACAATAGTTTCCAATTCCCCAACCCTAGGTGATTCAGTAAGCAAATCATTTTTATTATGAAAGTGCCAATTGTAAAAGAGCAAATAAAAAAAAAATGGACACAAACGAGTTCAAGACCAATCTCGAAGTCAACTATCTTCACGAATGAGCTCGATCCCGAAACAAACAAGCTGAGCTAAACTCAAGCTCCAATTCCACAAAAACTTAATCTGGCCTAGTTCGACCTCGACTCTTGGCTTGTATGACAATCAAGCTCAAGCCAAGCTCACAGCTTTTATAAGTAGCCTAGTTCTAACCTCCAAGGCTTGCCTTCTCTCGCCTCATTTTTAGCTATACCTATAGGGTGTAAGAACATTTATTCGATAAAGATAGTCCAGCAGGTTAAAGTTATGGATTCCTTCTTACATGACCTAATATGCTTTTGAAAAGCTTATAGCAAGTATCACATGATATACATTGGTGTATTAAGTTATTAACGTCATACTTGGACTACAACAAGGTTATGTATTGTTTCAGTTATATTCTTTTAATTTCTCAAAGCTATCCTTATTCATCTGTAATTTCCACCACCAAAGACAATTCTCTCATCTGGTTCCTTGCGCAATATTAAGAAAGAAAAAGACAAAGCCAGCTTACCCAAGACAAATTTCTAACAGAGATACTGGTTTTTGTTAGATAGATGTTATTCAAATATCCTATTATTTTCATACTTGAAGAGAAGATTTATGATTCATCAGTTACTCCAAATTCACAAAAACAAAAATAAAAAAATAAAAGATAAAGAGGTCACCTCTTTACTCATATTAATTACTTTCTACAAAAGAAAAAAAGAACATCAAGAGCTAACTAGACTTCCATGAAGACATGAAAAAGAGCAGCTTATAAGTTCCGGTACATGGAAAGAATACGTTTTTCAATTTTTAACATGGTTTAGAAACGATCTAGATCTACATTGCTCTGGTTAACACCTAAAGACTTCACGGCCAAAGTTCGAGAGTCATTACAATATTATTCGATCAATCTTAAGCAAATTACTTCAACTCAAAAGCGTAGAACATCACACAAAGTGACCTATCAAAAGAAAAAGAAAAGAACATCTAACAAAGTGTAACACACAGAACATACAAACCTTTATTCATCATCATTCGTTCGTAGAGTGATGGCTAATTTAAAAAAAGTGAGAGAAAATATTCAATACCATTCGTTTTTGCATTTTGAACTGGAAACAAAGCAAACAGACAAACTGTAACCATGGCTTTGCAACTTAAGCTTACCCAGCCAAAATATTTGGAGTAACTTGACGCAATTATACTTCAACAAATCAATAAAAAGCAAAAAGATTGCCAGGTATTCAAGACAACTCAGAAGCACCTTGGTTACCAAACTCATTGAAAAGGAGTCTCTGTAACTCATGAATTTTTTTTTTACTGAAAGGACTTGATATAAGGCAAAATTGTAATGAGGTGAGTTGCGTTTAATATAGCAAGTTTACAGGGTTTGAGAACTAGAACACTGGTAGGTGTATGAAGCACCTGAAGCATGTACTTTCTTCCAATCACACACTACAAGTGAGTTTCTATTTTTGACTCAATTGAGTCATCGCTAGCTCAACAGATGATACGCCAACTTTGCCCCAGCTATAATTTTTTCAAGCTATGGTTTTAGTCCACCACCTGCCTTGATTAAACTTAGTTTAATTTGATCCAATTGGATAAAAAACAAAAAAAAATCAAAAAACAAAATAATATATGAATAAAAACTGGACCACATTTGGTCCCACAGATACAAATCCAAGTAGTACCCAAACACATGCTAATATGCTACATGCATCTTAAAAAGGAATACCGGCTATAAATTATTATTCACATGCTCTAGCGCATCAAAACTTTCCAATTGTCATTTATTCCTGAATTTAGCCTACTCGACGATGATATGGGCAACTTCTCAGCCACTTAAGAAACTACAGACTTCCAAATTCATTAGGGAAGTATGGCCAACTTCTCTCCACTATGACATCTTTGAGAGCCTGTCGCTTCTGTAACTTCCGATTTTTAAACTGTTACGAACTTGCTATAACAGTGGGTTACATAGCTTTGACTTGTAATACTGCAGACAGCTCCTTATTTGGTATCATAAACTTAGAAAACCCCACTCCATTAAGGAAGAAACTGCTGAAAGGCATCTGTGTCACACCTCTCAATCTCTTGGATCTAAGATCTTTTGTTCTTTCCTAAGACCAGCCAGAGCATGGACATGCACACCAAACACGCAGACAACAAAGTAGACAAAACAGACAGACAAAAAAGCAATTGAATCTGTTTGTAAATTGATGCAAAAAGCCATCATTGAAACGACCCAATCTCTGTAGGCATGAGGACGCAGCTCAGTTAGATTTTTCATATGAAGTTTTGGCACTTAACCTCTTGAGTATTGTTCTACCACAAAAATTAGAAGCACGAATCTCAACAAGATAGTTCTTTTTACACAACAATAACTAAAACGTCTTATCCCTGAAGGGAAACATGATATCACCCACATATATAAATACATAGAACTTCAAACTTGAAATGTATGAGTCATAAAAAAATTTGCTGGGTTCTCCACCAAAATAGCTGACATCCAAAGTAGTTCAATTTATAAGAGCAGCATTTATTTGCAAGCATCCTAGAGGCAAATACAAATTCTAGTATTTACTCAACTAGCACTATGCTTAACAGCTTAAGCAGTGAAAAGAGGAAGGGTTACAGGGGGGAGAATATAATAGGGTTGGTGCATAGTTCTGGCTTAGAAGGGAAGGCGAGGTAAAAGAGGAGGGAATGCAACTCTACAACATCAGCCATTTTCTGGAAGGAGAAGGAAAAGTAAATGCCTTTTACTTCCCTAGCAGTAGTTACAACTGAAGTACTACCCTTATTGGAGGTAACATGAATCATAGGAAAACGTATAATTCAAGAAGCATACCCCTTCTAGAAGCACAATAGTTGTTCTCAACAACCTTCAAGCATCCATGTCTCATTGGAGCAGTGTACGCGACCATAATACCTGCAAATTTTGAAGCAATATCATTAAGCAAAACAGTGACAGCTGTAATCTTTTTCTTCTCTTTTATTTTAAATGATAAATCAGTTATAGTAGTAGTCTTTATACAATTAAACAATTAAAACTGCCAACCCACCTTTTTAACTTTAACAAGTTCACTTTTTACCCATCAAAAAAAAAAAAAAACAAGTAAAACTGGAAGCAGCCACACTTTTGAGCTCAGATGCACAATCCTGTGATTTACAACCACAATTTCAGTTACAATTGGATGCAAAGAAACTACAGGGAAATGAAAAAGGCAGTACAATTGCCAAAGAAGTTATGTTTTTACATTATGTGCGCATATGTAATAAAATGCTTAATTCTTTTTTTTTTTCGATTTGCACCGGGTGTCCGAGTCTCTAAGATCCCCGACTAATCCCGGGGATGCACAGGCCCTCGGCAAGGAGTTTCCCGCAAGTTCACCACGGTTAATTCAGGTTTTACCAAGTCCGATGGCCCTCAGAAATTGTTTGCACCCAGTGGGTTTCCCGCATATGTAATAAAATGCTTAATTCTCAGTCATCAATCCCTATTCTTCTCTTCATATTGATTGATCATTGAACCCAGAGACGATTCACTCTTTGCAGACATTTACAAGATGAGAGTGAGATCATTCTTACATCTAAAAGGACGAACAAATATATGACACTCCCAAAATCTCAAAGTGCGAGGAGGGATTCAAATTTGAAGTGTTTCCATATCTACACACATGCTTGAACAAAAATGGGTTAGTTTTAGCCTCCAAAAAACTATGTCCATCCGGGAAGATTGGTTGTACATCCTTTCAAGAATTTAAACTTTCGCCTCTCTAAGTTCATAAAACCTTCCAAAGAGCCTAGGTTCAGTTAGATTTTCAGGGACATTGCAATTCCAAAACAGCATAGACATTAGAAGATAGTTTCCTAGTACATCCCCATTCATAGCTTCTAATCATTGGTTTTCCATGTCACATATTTGTTGCAGCTAACTGCAACCAGAGATATCTTTCTAAATTATTTCTACACATCTTGAACCTTCAAATTATTTGAAGTACTTTCTTATCCTTTTCATTTTCTACTGCACATACAATATCTAGGGGAGCCATCATCAAGATGACTGCCTAAGTCCTAATGTCAGTTAAAACTCCACAAATGAGCAACTAAACGCCGAAAATCACTAATTCCAGCCCTAACTCAGATATAAGAGACCATAAAATCACTGACTATCTTATCTGCATAGCTGCCATAGCAGCAGCACTAAAATACACATTCTACTCTTTGAAGGCAACAACAATGTCAAACTAGATTCCAGCAAAACTTAGTGTAATTCAACCTAAAAGGATATAAATATAAAGCTTGTGCTGCAATACAAGTATACACAACAAGATTTACCATATATTCTTCAGAGCAACTAGTTACACTGCCAAGCCTGTGAAATACATATTCTACTCTTTAAATGCAATAACAAAAGTCAAAATAAGGTTTGCTCACTTTACCTCTTATTAACACTGAATAGGTAATATACATGATCACATTTACCATATAATTTGCAATTAGATACACCAAAGAGGCAACGGAATGAAACAGACATTCTACTCTTCGAATTCAAAAACAAAAGTCAAAATAAGGTACATTCACTTCACCTCTCATTGATACTGAATCGGTAATATACACGATCACAATTACCATATAATTAGCAATTAGGTACATCGAAGAGGCCGCGAAAGTGAAACACACATTCTACTCTTCGAATTAAATAGCGAAATCAAAATTAGGTTTACTTCTTATTCGCCCTAAAACGATGAACACATAATAACAACTCGGTGCTAATCCAAGTATACGCGAATCACATTTTCAAACATAAACTTTATTCTCACATCTCCTCACCCGCAATTAGATATACTGCGGAGACAGCGAAAATGAAGGTGGAAGGAATGAACACAACCATCCAGTAGTAATCCACAGTCTCCTGATTCGTTAGGTAAAATGCACCAGGAAAACCATCCGAATCACCAGCACTACCGCTACCGCCGCCGCCGGTGCCAGTAGAAGCTATGTTAGTGAAATTAATGGAAAGCGGCTGAATACGGTAGTCACCACAGAACGGGCGGCGAGCAGGATCGACAGGAAACACTATTTTCAAGCTGATGACAGTGCATACGATAATAGCAAGTGATATTAGGGTTAAAGTACAGATCGCTAGTGGTCTCTGGAGACGATTCCATGCCTTGTCTTCCTCGCGAAGACACTCGTATTCGTGTTTCGGCATGAACGCTTGCCGGAGTGCATCTCCGATTATCGCCATTTTTTTCAACAGCTGTATAAAGGCATATAAGCGTATGTATGAAGAATTTATAGGTGAATTAAGGGTTTGGAGAGCTGAGGGAAGAAAATTCTGGAATCGGAAGGGGGGGAAATGGAAGTCCTAGGTGGTGGGTTGGGTGGTATGTTCAAAGTTAGTTTGTTGCTTTACCAGCTTTCTCAGATTAGCACCGTCACGCATACATTTCCGTTTTATAATTTTTGTATTTATCATTGTGGAATATAATTTGACACTTCCTTTCATTATCTTGTCTTGTGCGTAAAGGTTGCTCATGCTTTCGAAAGTTTTTTTTTTTTTTTTTCTGAGAAAAAAGAAAATTAGTACTTCATTATTTCTGGAAAATAAAACTAGGAGTCATTTCACATTATATTTTGACACGTCTATCGTTATTAGAGGAAAATTCTGCCATGTGAAATTACCCTAACATAAGACCCTTCTCCTCAATTTTACCACTCTTTTGCACAACTTCAATGTAGTGTGCACAATGGAGCATGTTCAAGAGAATTGGATGCTAGAATCACATATTGAAGTACTAAATACATATGATAATATGTATGGGCCGTCAAACATCCAATGTAGAGCATTTCTTTTATTTAACAAGGGCCAACATGCGGGTTTTGGAAGTAAGTGATTTTTTTGTGTGGAGACCGTTTCTCTCTCAGCGCATGTTAGCTTAACGTGCGCCGTCCATGTGGAAGAGAGCTCGGAATCCATCGCAGAAGGCAATTCTAGCTCAGGAATCAGCTGCTGTTTAACCAGAAAATAGGAATTTCAGTCAAAGCTTACTAATAATCAAATAAAAGAATATTTTTGCAATGAAAAAGGAAAATTAGAATGAGAAATAGCAAAACAATCGATATAAAGCAAAGTAAATAAGTATATTCAAATAGTAATCAGAACGTATCCATACAAATGTCATTTCTCTTCCTTTTATAGCTATCTCTAAGTACACGCCTCTTCCCTCTCATAATTGAGCCATCATGAGCATTTAATGACATTAATGAAATGTTATAATTGGCAATCGTAACTGTTTCGTGAAGATTCTGTAATGTTCCTAATCATTCATGCTCATTAATTGAAGATTAGCGAATCTGTACTTTTTGCCGTCTTGATTCATTCCACCGGTGTCTCTTCAAATTATGAAGAGACACGAGCGACCGTTTCTTCTTGTCACTTAGACGCTTTGCTCGTACCTATTATGACTCGCATCTCTCTAAGTACTCTTCGCCAGCTGTCACTTTTCTAATGATCCACATGTCTTGCTGTGTCAGCCACATAATTAGTTCCAAGTGTAATATTGATTTTTTCCAATACAGCTGTGTTAGTGGGAAATCAACAACGGAGGAAGGATGAGCTGCTAAAGGCAATTGAAATTTCAAAATCGCAGGAGATGGAATCAGAAATCAATAGAGCAGTACTTGAAAAATTGAGGGATGCAAACTCAGAGGAAATTGGGGGATCTTCAACAACTATGGAAACTCAGCAATTGGAGGTTACATCCACCTCAAAAGAAGCTCCAGAAAGCTCGACAAAGAGCCAAAGCAAGCTCTCATGGGCAGAAGAATCAGAACTAATGGATGAAGTCACAAGCAAGGGTTCCATCTGGGACAATTTTGATATCACAAAGGTAACTAATGCTGGATTTAACCTAGAATACATATCTCCAGAGGTGCATGCAGAAACCCCTGTGTGTGAAATTGAAATAGAGGATATCAGTACAGAATTAGAATATTGGAAAACTGATGTAGGGTGTTATGTTTTGGGGATCACCCTCCATTCTCAGTTTTGAACAGCTATATCCAGAAAATATGGGGCAATCATGACATTAATAAGATATCTATGATGAAGAATGGGATAGTCCTAGTGAGATTTGATGATGTATCAGGGAAGAATGAAGTTATTCAAGGAGGTATATACCACTTTGATAACAAACCATTTATTGTGAAAGCATGGCATCCATATATGGAATTTACCAGGGAGGAGCTCTATACGGTTCCAATTTGGGTGAAATTACTAGGCCTGGATTTCAAATACTGGAGCTCAAAGGGACTATGCAAAATAGGGAGTTTGATTGGTAAACCATTGATGGTTGACAATCACACAGAAAAGAAGATAGGGCTTAGCTTTGCACGATTACTTATTGAAGTTGGTATGGATGCCAAGCTACCAGATAAGGTCTTCTTTAAAAATGAGAAAGGAATGTTACCAGATAAGGTCTTCTTTAAAAAAGGTTCATTATGATTGGAAACCTACTTTATGTAAGTTTTGTAAGAAATATGGGAAAAGGAATGTCGAGCAAAAAAGGTGCAGCAACCTGAACCTGTGCAGAAACAGCAAGAATCAGCCTAAAAACAGGACAAACCAATGACAAAGGCTACAGAGGAGACAAAAGGTGTGATTACAAGTAAAGGGCCAGCAAGTAGACAAGAGACAAATTCAGCAGGATGGGTAACACCTATTAATACTGGAAGGAACACAAGTAAACAACAAGGAAATAGAGGAGCTCAGATCAATCAACAGAACACTTTCAAACCACTAGATCATGTTCCTAATGAGGTAGTAGACCAAAGTGTTCAAGCAATACAAAGTCAAGTAAAGAATAGGGTGGGACAGTTAATCCCCCCTCTAATCATGGATAGTATTCTTTGTTGGAATGTTAAGGGAATTAATGCCCCTAACAGACAAAAGGAGGTAAAGCTCCTTTGTACAAAATAAAATATAGGTATGATTGGAATTTTGGAAACAAAAGTTAAAGTCAATAGGATGGATCAACTGGCAAACGGATTATTTGGAGGTTGGAGATATATTACTAATCTAGATCAACATTACAATGGAAGAATTTGGCTAACATGGAGACCAAATTGCTTTCAAGTTGATCTAATCAGTAAAATTGCTCAAGCAGTCACATGCAAGGTTAATCATCTTAGTTTAAGGCTTACATATTTGTCAACAGTAGTGTATGCCTTTAATACAAGAGAGGAGAGAAGACAATTATAGTCATATTTGGAGTCTATCAGTACAGGACTTAATATGCCATAGATAGTGATGGAAGATTTCAATGTTGTACTTCAACTAGATGACAGAATTGGAGGAAACCCCATTAGTATGTCAGAAATAGTAGAATTTCAAAGTTGTGTGGATGCTTGTGGTTTGATTGAATTGCCTAGATGTGGAAGTAAATACACATGAAATGATAGACATGGATATGGAAGAGTGATGTCCAAAATAGATTGAGTGTTTATTAATACAAAGTGGATGAATAGCATGCCAAGTTTCAAAGCTCAATTCTTACCTGAAGGTATAAGTGACCATTGTCCTATAAAGCTAGTATTAACTGATGGCCCTAGAAGAGATAGAGCTGCCTTCAAGTACTGCAATGTCTGGGCTACTCGCTCATCCTTTATTGATGCAGTAAAGGAAGGGTGGGATAAACAAGTAGATTGTAAGGTCCCGTGGAAATTTTGCTCAAAAACACGAACCCTCGTAGTGCCAAGTTAGGAATATGTGTTAGAAATGTTCGGACCTTTTGAATTGATCTGTGCATTTAAAAGTTAAGGAATAATGTTTTTCCAGAAAAGCGCGTTTCTGCGGTCCATTATGCGGTCGCATAATAGCTATGCGGATCGCATAGTCGCCGCAGAGTGAATTAGTATGCTGATTAGTTTTGAAATCAATTATGCGTCCAATTATGCGATCGCATAATCAATATGCGGGCCGCATAGTCATCGCATAATCTCCTTGGAATTTTGCGAGGGGCAATTCTGCGGTGCATTATGCGACCGCAGAACAGGTATGCAGACCACATTCTTGTCGCATACCTGTGAGCATGTGATTTTTGCCCTATACGAAATACTCCTATAAAATCCCAAGGAAAATAGGTTTTCTGTTAATTATTTGCCATTTTAGGAATTTTTTTAGAATTTTCTTAATTATTTGCATTTCTGTGCATATTTAATTTTTATTTAAAATCATGAAAAAAATACCAAAAATATCATGCATTTAGGATTTGTTTTTACATTTTTAGAGTTAATCAGTAATTATTTGTTTTAAAGAAATTTGAAACTCACAAAAATAGCTCATTTTTCACATTTTTTGTCTTTTATTTTTAATTTATTGATTTTTCTCTTTTAGTTCAGAATTTAGAGATGTTTATAATTTTTATAATTATCTAATTAGTTTAATTTCACATTTTTAGATAGTTTAGGATTTTTAATTAAAAAAAAGGAAAAAGAAAGAAAAAGAAAAGAATTTGAAAATAAAAGAAGAGGAATATTAAGAGAATTATTTTTCTGGAATTGGGCCAATTTAACCCAAATCAGCCCCAAAATTACCCCAAACCCGTCCAAAATAACCAAGCCCAAACCAATCTACACCCGGTCCAGACCCACCTGAAGCCAAACGACCCCGTTTCCTTTAGTTTAATCACAGCCGTTGGATTTCTATCATCCAACGGCTTGGAACTAGTTGGCCATCTAATATTTAACTGTCCGAAGAGAACCTCCCCCCCATCTAACCCCTTCAGTCATCACTCTCGTCTCTCTCTCAATAAACCCTAGCCGCCTTAATACTCCACGCCGCCTCCACCGCCGACCACCACCGGAAATTGCCTCACGGCGGTTCCGATGGTCCAATCGTCCCCAAAGTAACACCATGAACTCTCCTTCACCCCCCATTCCAAATCTCCACTCCCTTTCCCTCGAATCACTGCCGGTTTCTTCGAATCTTAATTCGAAGGATACGGCCAAAACCCTAATCGTTCCAAATCATGCCAAGTTAACACCCTACAACCCTTACCCCTCTCTAAGCCCTAAGCTACCCTTAGCCCTTTCCAAATCAGTTCCTACTTGCCCAAATTTTAGATCTTAGATTCATAAGCCCTAAAAAACCTCTGCCTGAGTTTGATTCCGGGGTTTTAATGGCTCCACTCTACATGAGTCGATTGCTTTTGATGAGAGCAATTGACCCATGTGGATTGGACCTATTGTTCGAAATGCCTGAATCCGGCCAAATCCTCCGGTTCCAGTTTGGTTCAATTACAGGTAATTTTCTAAACCTGTTCTCTCTGTCTCCTTTTCCTTTTTCTTTTTCTCCTGGCCATCTTTTTCTCCCTTCCTTTTGTTTGATTCTTCATGGGTTAGTCCGTTTGCAGTTGCATGTTTAGGTTTCTTGTCCTGTATTTTTATCATTTAGGAACT